ATCTAAATCAATCTATCTAAATCAATCTATCTAAATCAATCTATCTATCTATCTATCTATCTATCTATCTATATGTATTATGTGTTTCTTTATGCGTATATCATATACCCTGGGTCCAAAGCTGTTGAAGAAAAGGGTTAGATCGTCAGGACGTCCTTTTCTGCGGTGGTCAAGTATCGTTTGTGGACTTCTATAGGAAGACCTCCCCGATCGCCCAAGTACGGTTGAAGATGTGTCATTCTTCTCGGGGGGTCGTTGCCTGGGAAGTCGCCTGGGGATTATACTACCCCTAAGTCACCGCAACAACCCCAAGACTTGGGGTTCATCAGTTGAACCCCCAAGGAGTTGGCAGGGCTCAGAGGTGTTAGGGTTGCCCTCCGCGAAGGTGGATGACATGGGACCTTTCAAAACACCGTGTAATGTTCAGTTGCGACATGTCTCTGACTTAGTTTTCTCCTTTGATGTATTTATAACACGGGCATATTGAATATGTTTTGTGTGGTTTAGCTTCTGCCCCACCTAGCAACAGTGCTATTCAAGCTATTCAGGCGACGTTCCTTGGAACCTGTATACACTGTATACATGTTCGATCCCCCAAAGACGACTTTTCTTTCAACGCATCTCACTGGAATCTTTGGAATATGAGCACCAAAAAAGACAGGTTGTTTCTCACCACCGAGAACCGCTCCGCCCTTTTCCGCTCCTCCTCGGTGTTCCCCAAAACACCACCGCTCCGGCGGGATACCCAGGCCGAGAGGCTGGCAATTGCGTTTCAAAGCGCAGGTGAGACGGTCCGGCGGGATACCGGAGACCCGCGGAGACCGGGAGAAGAGATGGGAGAGGAGATATCACGAGATAAGGAGGGTTTGGTTCTTGTGTTTAGCGCTAGCTGTATGAGTCATTCTGAATGGAAGAGGTGGAATGATCCGATGTCTGGATGTCAACAAAAACAGATGGTGAAAGAGTTTGGGTGAAAGAAAAACGAACACAGTTCGACTCAGCCATCCAGCACAGGTTCGACTCAGGATTCAGCAGTTGTTGCATATGTTTCACCTTTTCATACCTTTTCAATCCTTTTCAATCCTTTTCAACTGATACCTGAAAAAGATTGGTCTCAAGATGTCTCAAGGAGGTGATACCTCACGACTGGGATCAATTCCTCTTTAAGTAGTTTTCTTTTTCCACATACTCGATCACTTCACATGATGGTTTTACTTTGCATTTGGAGGCTTATCCGGATCCAGTCAGTGGAAGACATGAAGCTCTCACCGGGTTTTCCCGATTCCACCCGTCGCAGTCGGACCAGTGAATCGCTGTCCTCATCGGTCCTCCCTTCCGTCGAGCTTCGGAAGAATCGAACTCCGTCAAGTCGGGGGTTTTTGGAGCTTTAGCTGAGCCGGGTGCTTTAAGCTTTTCGGGCTTCACAGGACATCTGTTTCGCGAGCAAGCCACCGGTTGAGATTTCAGCAAGCTCCACCAAGTTCGGGTGGCGCTGGGATTCGGGCAAGAACGGATGTCCCTTGCAGTTCTATGTGCCTCTTTCAATGGAGGTGTGGAAAGTATGTTTGGGTAAACCTGAGCATGAGGCAACATAGAATGTTCTAGCAGCAAGGAATCTAGTTTATACAAATGTATATATACATATATAGAGAGAGAGAGGATGTTGCAATATCCCGAGAGATCTTTTGGGTCCACTCGCTTGGTGCACTTGCAGGAAAGGGAAAGGGAAAGCGAAGGCGGAGCTGTGAGACACTGGAGTGAAGTAGATTAGGGTGTGTATCAGAATAGGAAGACCTCCCAAAGACCCAAAAGACCGCCTGGAAGAATTCAAGTAAACCAAAAGCCCATTGGATCGGGCATGCCTTACCCATTGGCTGGGGGTCTTCCAAAAAGAAGATACACATGCCATTTCTGGCTCTTCAGTCGAGGAGCAGGCACTGCTCCTCGGCATTCCGAGTTGGCGGGTCCGGCTTCCCCAGCAGGAGGGCCGCTCCAGCTGCTCCTGCGAGACATTCCGCTGGATCAAGCAGGGTCCATTTCTCCAGGCTATTGGCCCTCCCTCCAGTGCCCTATGAGTCAAGTGCCGTTTGAAATGACCTGTGGCCGTTTGAAATGAGGCCAGATGCTGCAGAGGTCCTTCCGTTGACTGTCGAACGTCAGCACCTTTGATGGTCGAACGTGTGTACAAACTCAACCAACCAGGATTAGATGCGGAGAAAAGAGAGAGAGAGAGGTTTCATTTCAGGTACCCAACTTATACATATAATTATACCAATTATACCAATGATGAGTGAGCTCATGGACTGCGTATCAACTCTGGAAAAGCTCATGAGCATCTCATTGGTCCCGGTTGCGCAATTCTATCATGAGTTGCAGGGTGGCTGAGGGCTGCGCTGCCAGCTGTCGGACCTGAAGTTTGGGTGGGACAAACTTGGCGCATTTCAACCGATGTGATGCTGGACAAAACTCTGAGCAAACCTCCAGACCTGGACGACCCGCTCCACCAACTCCGACCTCCCAGATCCTCCCAGATCCTCCCGTCGTCCACGTCGATGCGACCCACCGAGCCCAGAGGCGCTGTCCGCCGCTTTTGGCTCCAACGCCCCCCGGGTCGTCAGCGGTTCGCCGCGGACAGTCCCGCGCCCGGGTGCCCGGAAGAGTGCCCAAAGGTGCCATCACGAGCTCGTGGACCTTTCAAGAGGCTCATATGAACTGTTGATCAATATAACATCACATCATCCCCTCCATTTAGAGATAATGTTTTAATCATTGTGAAAGCCATTTTGCTAGGTTTTTGGGTTTGAATCAACAGTGTGACATTAGAGGAGGACTTGGGACTGTAGATGGGCGCAGTGGAAATGTCCAATTCCACTTCGAGGCTGAACAACCATTGAAGAGATAATATGAGGCTGCCCAACAGCATGAGGGAAGGCCAATTGATACGTAGAACTAGAACTGTTTTGATTTGTGATCTGTGGATTCCGTGGATTATGAGCAAAGGACAATTATCGCAACAGCAACATAAACAACGACAACAACGACACGACAACGACAAAGTACAAACAGATACAGCAACAACATCAACATGTTCTTTAACTGTTTCAAAGATACAGGTTGCCATACACGTATCCAGTCAGAATGTTCATGGATGACTTGGATGGCCCAGAAGAAGAGGTGATCAGAAAGATGGAATGTCTATTAGATGCCGCCACTCAAGCAACACTCACATCCTCACATGTTGAAGTTGTCTTCCAGATTCACGTTCAGCAGGAGCTACTGTTCTATTCCAGCAGCGACTTCCGACTAGCTCAAGCCGGTATGGCTGACATACTGCGGTCTTGTTCTCTCGCCCAGGAAGGAAAGAAGTCCAGTCCCAAGCATGCCCGGGACCAATGAGGCACCATCGATCCTGGCACCATCGATCCAATGAGGTTTTCTTCGATGTTTTCTCGTCCCGACCGCACATGGTGGGTTCATTCGGTTCGTTCCAGGAGGAATTCCTGGCACTCAACCTAAAACGATGGAGGATCAGATTCGTTAAGGGCCTCATGAAATCCAACCCTGCTGTATGTGGCGGAAGTGTCTTTTTGGGAGGGTTCACTGGGCAGTCTGGAACCAGTCCAAGAGGAGTTTCAGTTTAGGGTGTCAGCGGCCAAAGGTACTAATTATGACTATAGATTTTGACAACAGGGGATAACTCACATACAACGAATTTACTACTTACATCTAGATAGTTACATTCTGTTAGCATTTATAAGCTAGCTACTGTTGCTGTTTAGCCCTGACTCTTCATAGTCACGTGTCTGACTATTAACAGTTATAAGCTAGCATCGACCCGGTGACCGGGCGTCTGGTCACGCGTGGTCCCCGGGCGTCCGGAACGAGCGGAAGTGTTCGGTGAATTGTGAGGTTCCGAAGTGTTCCATGCAGAATTGGTGATGAGAATGCTTGGTTCTCCACCTGAGACGTCACAGAATTGGATGCTGGCTCGTTTTCGGACACGTCGCAGACGTCTGCGACGTCGCAGACGGATGAGACGTGCCAGAAGTCGCAGATGGAACCAACTGCACTGGGAGAAACCAATGCAACCAGCCCCTGGACCTGATCGTCTTTTGGATCCTGCTAGTCAGTTTGCAGAGAGGCGTGTGGGTACTGGTACAGCGGCTCTGTCCAAACCAGCTCCTTTGAAACCGCCAGGAGCAGCCGAATTCGGCTGCAGCTCCGGCGGAGGTGATGGGCCAAGCAGAGAAATGCCGAAACACATTTGCGCGTGAGCTGAAGAATTTCTGATGGATATATATATATATATAGTTTTTTTCAGGATAAAAGCATCTAAATCTAGAAGAATGTGAACACTTTGTCCGGACGGACACAGTCCAAGATCAGTGTTTCCATTTGCTGTTGACACCTTGGTCCCCCCAAAGGACCTGTTAGCCTCCTAAACTACCATTGATCTCGCAAGGTTCTGGTTTGGGTTTGCGGAGTGTTCCATTATTTCGGGAGTAGAAACGCTTAAACGTGTTCTTTTGGTAAAAAGGCGCTCCCAAGCTTAGGCGCTCTCTCAAGCTTAGGCGCCCGCTGGAGCTGCAGCTGAGCCTAGCCCTCCAGAGGACGGCAAACAAACAAAACCTGCACAATAGAGCTCAACCAACAAATTAATCCATGGATCTTCTTATAACTTATAACTAAACCAACAATCGTGGGGCATTGCGACCATTTTGATGTTGCCTGATAATAAGGAATTATGTAGTTAGCATGTACAATATGGTTTCTCTCTGAGTCGCAGATTCGATAAAGTGTGTGTTCCAACCCAGGTGAACCAGTGTTTCGTTGCATATGTGCCCGTGTGACAGCGGACACATGTTTCAGTGAGTGCCAGGCCCTTTTTGTCTAGCCCAGCTCACCAGCTTAGGGCCATACGACTCTGACGAAAGTCTGATACACTCTGTTTGGAACATGGAGCGAGAAGAACATGTGAGGTGGTCATACCATTGGGTGGGTGGGCCCTTTCCCATGTGTTTCTTTTAGCCAGTCGGAGATTCGTGCCAAGCAGTTTTTGTTCGATGGGATAATTAATGGTTAGATAAGATATCATTTGGGTTTGTCCGTTCTCAACAAGTAAACAGTCTTATCGCTACTTTTGGGCAAGGCCTCTACTAACCATGATCATCTACTGGGCTCAGGTGTTAGGATTGATACCCACGCAATACTTTCTCCAATTTTTCAAGAACTTGATTGCCTAGCAACAGTGGTCGCTTTGGAGGGGATCTTTGGAGATCTCTTCCAGCTTAGAGCTTTTGTTTTGTGTTGGCACAGTGTTTGAAACAGGGCTGTTGGTCCGTGCGAAGATGCACTTTCGATTATCGTCCAGGACCGGTCAAGACAGTGCCGAAAGGTAAGCGCAACGCGTTCATGTGCCTGCTGCTTGTGTCAAAAGACTTGGAGCAAGGGAGAGCTGTGCAGAACTGTGTGCACAGAGCGCATCGTGTGAGCCGATATTTTTTTGAAGCGAATCGACCGAGGCCGAGGTCAGAGGTTTACACGACACGCCAGGACATGAGACAAGACACAGTTGGCTTAAGCTTTTTCTGCCTCGACTCGACTCAAGTCGAGACATGTCGCTTCTAGGGTCCTTGGCAAAGGATTCCTCAGAGACAGGTGAGGATGTGAAGATGGATTCGGATCGTGAGTCCAATGTAGGCGATGGCGATGGCGATTCGCAATCAGGAAACTCCGAGGATGTTGACCTTTCTTTCCCAGACAACGTGTGCCATATGTGTGAGCAACAGTTTGGGGCTGAAGACGAGGACTGAGACTGACGAGTTTGTACTGGGTAATACGACTGAGGTTCTGTGATATTATATTTCATGTACGTACACCCGGCCTACAACAGAGCCTACGTTTTGACTTCATGAGGTCAACAGTAAACAGCAGTTAGTGAGCGATTAAAACTTGTACTGCTGCACTGTGGATACTGATCACTGTTACTAATTACTAATAACTGTATCGATTTTGCAAGACAAACACACTCGACAATGTACATCAGCAAGTGAAAATTGTTGGGGTCACACACTAGAACAGTCCCTGTAACTAAAACAGCTCAGACGAGACTTTGTTACTTGTTTGTTCCCCTCTCTGTACGCAGGACGCACCAGAGGGTCACTCCTGCACAGTGCAAGCTTCAAAAGGGGATTCTGATGGCACATGTCAATGCCTCAAATGCGTATACATTAAACGAGGCTCTTTCAAAGGGATCAAGTTGCGCGCTTTCATTGTGATGATGAAGCGTTCTCCTCCACTCCGCAGAAAGTTTCCAGGCATACAGATACATGTGGCATGCAGCAGCACACATTTATGATTCTGACATGTTTTGGCTATATTTAACAATTTATAAGTCGACCAGTATTTGCTGTATGCTGCTGCGTGCTTCACAGTTCGCAGAATATTTGGAAGTTTAGATCCAGGTTGTTTGTTAGCTTTTGTTTCTGATTGGACTAGACTCGACTCAGCCTAAAGGTGGCAACAGCCTCCGAAGATGACTGCCTGATCCCAGGTTCCGTGCCCTTCGCAAACGACACGTTCAAGTCCTATGCAAGAATCCCAAAGCTCGTCCCAGACACGAGCAAGTGGATGTCAAATTGTTTGTGAAGAAAACCAGCTCCAAGTACGTGGACTTCCGGCAGGAGAGAAAGACAACATGCAATTCAACTTTGCCTGGCATTAGACTTCACAATAGCCTCATTGTACCTTCACTTCTAACTTCTAACCACAGACGTTGCTAGAAGACAATGCTTGCTGCTGGCTTCTTATTTTGTCTTTTGATTCAATGGTCACAAACACCTGACTCATTGTTTGGCTTTTGTGGGGTGGCTGCAGGAGGGAGACTGGTATCCGCTGAAGGAGTTCTTTGACATGAAGGCAGATGCAGAGACCAAGAAGAAGCTGCGCAGCATTGTCCAGAAGCGAACATGGCTCGAGAAGAGAGGATTTAAGATTCAAAAGGACAGAATGAACCTTTTTGTCATTTGTAACAGTTTGTTCTTGGACAGGACCCTTGTCCAGCCAGCCGCTTTGTTTTGTTCAAGTCCTTTCCATGAGAGGTCCAGTTCATTTCTCTTGAATTGTTCCTTCTAGACTGGTTGAACCCGGGACTGTCTTTTTTGCAAAAACACCAGAACTAGGACTAGAACTCAAGCAAAACACCATAGATTATAGATAAATAAATAGTAACGATACGACCAGCACAGTTTTTACAGCTTGGCTTTGCAGGATGAAACCGGCGTTGATGGAGTGGTGGTGATGCCAGATGGTGGCCGGAAGAAGATCTTGGTTGGCACTCGCATGGCAGCCACCAAGGAGAAACGTGTTGAGCATGAGGGCCAGACAGGTCAAGACGAAGCCTTTGACAAGTCCAAGAGTGGGTTGAAGGTTGAGAGTCAGACTCAGGACCAGGGGGCGCGAAAGAAATAGACTCTAGACTCTAAGACTCCAAACTACTCTAAACTCATACAGAAAACACAGACGATAAACAGTGAACAGTTTTGTTTTTACTATCTGTTGGAGTTTGGTTACTGTACCTCTTTCCAGTCCATCGACATTAAAAACAAATCGTATCAGTACCGGAAACAAGTCCTTCATTCTATTCCTAGTTATATTCAAGAAGTACGAAGATTGGAATTCAGTAAAAAAGGAGTCTGGAGTCTGCAGTCGTCTGCTCATGATTGTTCATCATGGGTAGAGTAGGGTTGAGTACACATTTTTGTGAATCAATGAATGAATGAAAGAATGAATGAAAACGAATGTGACTGTTCATGCCGCAATGCTATGCCAGTTTCCCTTCAGGAAGAAGTTGCTCAGAACTTGAAGGACGTGAGTGACAACGATGAGGAGATGGTGGACCCGGAGAGGGATCAAGAGTCTGATTCGGAAGAGTCTGGGTTTGGATTGGAGCTCAAGAAGACAAAGAAGCGGGCTGCCCCGAAGAAGGCGGCGGCGCCTGCTACTATGCCTCCACCCATGCCCACTCCTCCTTCACAGGCCACTTCTGCAGGACTTGCTGACGCCTTGTCTGAGGCAACATCTCAAGCACAATCTGCTGCTACTGAGTCCATGAGATCGTCAAGATCCGCACCAAGCAACAGGGTCAGCGGAAAAGGTGGCAATGGCAAAGTCAATGAGAAGACTCTGCAGCAAACCAACGCTCTTTTGGTCAGCTTGCAGCAAATCGCGAGCCCTCTTCATTTGTGGCAGCAGCCAGCTCGCTGCAAAGATGCTGATGTGAAGGTGAGGAAAGCTCTGGACCGGTGTGGTTTGCTAGAGACAGCTGACACAGACGAGGCTACCAAGCTGCAGAATGAGCTCTCCAGAGTGGCCACTCGTGTCAGTGAATGGATCGAACTAATTGCTCAGTTCAAGAACGAAGACAGCAAGGAGTCCAAGCAGCCTATGTCATCAACTTTATCCACTCACGCTTCCCAGTTGTGCACTTGCCTTGAGGGCCAGTCAGCTGATTGCGTGAAAGCAATCCTCTTGGACCTTGGAAAAATGCTGATTGAGGCCTGGCGGCCTGTCAATTGTTTTTTACATTGCAGTGTGTTGATGTTACTGTTGCACAACATTGTTTCAATTGGATCTGGATGAGTGAATTGGATCTGGATGAGTGAGAATGAGAATGATTTTAACTTTCATTGAACTCAGACTTGGGACTTGGGCTGTCATTTTACAAGGTCAAGAATCCAAACAACCTTTCCAAAACGTGTTGTGCTTTTGCATTGGTTTTGACTCCGTTCAGACTCTGCCAATCTGACCACCATTCTTCTAGTACAGGCACAGTACATTTTTACATTGGCAGCGAGAGATAGGATCACACAGACTGACTGGGTTCAACTTACTGGTTAGTTAACTCACATTAATCTTTCCAGTGGCTCCAGTGTCTGTACACGGGGATCTTTGTTGTAGGCGTGCCTCTCCAATGAGACGCCCGGTTCTGATGAGCGTGCGGCATTCTTCCATTTCATTTCCATGGAGCCCATTACGGAAGATGAGCTGCCAGCCTCACCTGGCATGTTCAATTTGGGGCTGGTTCTCAAGAAGAAAATCTGCGACGGGGGCATTTTGCTGCAAATTCAAGCCTCTCTCTTCAACTCGTGGATTGACAAGTTGAGGACAGTTCCCAGTGACGTGACCTCCTTGATCTTGTCTAGCTTGCCGACGAAGTACAACATTGCCGAGGTTCTCAGGCGGGGCAGAATGTTGTTTCTTTACAACTGCACATATTAGCACACTTTCAGCTGCGGCAATTGTCGTGTTATACTATACCGTGACTGCCCTGCAAATCTGCAAATGTAAACAAAAGTCTAGCTCACGTGGACCAATGACCATGGACCATGACTATGGCTTCCTGCTCCCTCAGGATTCCCAAGCCGGATTCTGAAGAGAAGCTGGCAGCTTTGACAATTGATGACACCGCCCTTTCAACGAATTCCACCGGAATGTCGATCAGAGTTTTGACAGACCTTCAGAAGTTGTATGCGTGTCACATGATGTCAGACGAGGAGAAACCTTTGCACTCCTTCGGCCCAAGTGAGAAGAACCTCATGAAAAGGAGAGTTGCTGTGGATCATTATTCAGCCAGGCTGAATTTGCTGTTCAGGAGCAACAATGCACTGAGGACAGGGGTTGAGGATACTTCCTTTGCGGCTAGGCTAGGCTAGTTAGCTTCAAGGAAGCAAGTCCAAAAGCAACCAACGTACGTACACCTTACAACGGATACAGTACCGCTACCACTACTGGCCCACTACTGTTATTACTAGCAGCAGTAGTACTAGTACTAGTACTAAATACGACGACTACTACTACTGCTAGTACTACATATTCAGATTCATGATTAATGATTCGATTCATAATTTATTCATAGTAATATTTTTTTGCTGACTAACCGCGTTTTAGTGATGGAAGTGGTACTGCAGCAATCTAATTGAGCTTTTAGGTTTTGAGTTTTCTTACGTTTGGTTTTTGTCACTTGAGTTGAGTTGCGCATTCTACAGATCTTAATTCTTCCTTGTTTCTTAGTAGCCCAGGGGCCCAACTTGACGAATCGTGAGTCTGAGTCAGTACTACAGTACTTGGTTTGCAGGAAAATGTGGGCAGAAGGCATCAATCTTTCCAAGACTTCCATCTCCAACGAGCAGGCCAACGCTATGTGCAAGGATCTTTTGGTGAAGGGGGCCAGTCTTCGGGATGTATTGAAGTCAGAGAGTGACCCGATTCTCACTCCAGAGCTTCGAGAATTGATCTCAGGCTGCCGAAACTTTGTCGACGTGGCTGCCAACTTGGATGACTCGATGCATGATGCAAAGAAAGACATGAACAGTCTGCTGGACGAGATCAAGACGCTTTGCGACGACAAGACCGGATCAGTGATCTCAACCAACATTGTTGAGTGGCTGAGCAAGCAGTGGAATTTGGACAGTGACATCCCTGCTGAGGAGGTCGACCTTCTGCTGAACTCGCTAGAGCCTCTTCCGAAGATTGCGCAAGCCTTGTCATTGCGAGGACTGGGGTATTTGCGGCGTTCCAAAATATATAAGTGGTGCGGTATCTAGCCAGACCAGCTCATCTTAACTCTCTTTTGGACCAGTTACAAGTTACAAGTCACTCACACAAGTCTCAATTTGGATTTGCTGCCATGCAAACCTTGTGATAGTTTTTGTCTTTGTCAATGAGTGGCTGTCAAACACACTAAGACCAGGAGAGATTCTGTCCACCTTCCTCAAGGTCGACAATGGCGCCTATGGTCATTTGGTGATCATGTTGCAGAAGATTGTGGACTTTGGTCAGGCTTCCCTCAAGGCAGAAGACAAAGCGCTGAGTCTTGCATCATCTTTGTCCTGTGAATTGCAGGAGCGCTTGAAGAAGGCAGCTAACCTTGGTGGATCCCTTCCGTCTTGGATCGAGGCAGTGAAGTCAGCAGCCACACGGTTTCAGGGCAAGATTCAGGACTGCGGCATCGCCAAGCTCAAGGGACTACTTGCCGCAGAGAATGGGGTCTCTGCTGCCAGGGAATTCCTCTCAACGTTGACTTTTGGGCCGGGTGACAACCTCTACGCAGCCGCAGAGGTGTTGAAGCAACACGAGCTCATGCAGAAGTCAGTGACCAACCCTCCTGGTGACATGCCGTCATTTGTCAAGCAGGTGAGTGGCGTGATGACCATTGCCTGCCTTGATCTTCCCATGTTGGGAAGCCTTCTCCCAGATGAGCTTCTTTCTGTCCAGAACTACCTCGACCATGTCAGTGACGTTTTGGGCACGGAAGTTGAAACAGTCCAGACCTCTCTCACGGACTTGGAGACCTTGATTAAGAAGTACAGGTGCAAAGGGGCAAAAAGTTGACGGACAAAGACGAAAAGGGACAGAATGTCACAAACACAGTTTGCAGAGTGAATGGATTGGATTGGATGAGAATGAACTGAACAGACTAGATTTGTGATGAGATCATGAGATCAGTGAGACAGTGAGTCAGGGAGCTCATTAAAGCGTTTTGAGTTTCAGGTACCGAGTTTATAAATTTGATCTGTTCATAAACTTATTTGTTTTTGTCTTTTGTACTTGTGTTTGGAGGCCGGTCTTGGAGGCTGTGGAGTTTTGGCAGCCTGACAAGATGGACTCTGTGGCATGGATGTTTGAGGGCAGCACGAACGTCAACAAAGACACCGAGGAAATCATCAAGCAGAGAGAGAACTTGGTGTCTAGCATCACACCTTTGCAAATGGTCTACCAGGGTAAGCATGTCGTCAAGCATTTTGAGAGGCTTGCCAAGCTCATGACCACCAATCCAGGAGTGGTGAGAAAGCTTCAGGACATGTGGAAACTCACAAAACAGAGTAGAGTTTAGATTTTTATATAATATAATATAATAATATAATATAGATTAGTCGAAAGCAAACAGCAGATAGCAACCTGTCAATCTGAAGGCCCTCACTTTTGGGCAGTGTTCGTGTTACAGTTCCAACGCGGTTTTGCTGGTGCCTTTCGTTGACGCCATAAGTGGGTAGATAGAGGCTATGCGGTGGTACAGTAGGTCAGTAGGACTAGGACTCCTTATTGTGAATGAATGAACAATGACAATGATCAATGATGATGACAATGACCAATGACGATGATCAATGACAATGACAATGATGATGGTGATGAGTGATGATGATGATAACTGATAATGATTGATGATGATGATATTATGAAAGTTATTATTTCTATTATGACATGTGATATGGACGGTGACAGGCACGGTCCGACAGTGGTTCATATGACATGACATATCATATGTATCTCTGTATGACTGTGTGACTTCATGCTAGTATATAAAAATATACTATATTATATATGTTATATGACTGTTCTTTGCGCTTTCACTTGCCTTCGCACACATGAAGGAAGCGACCGATGCGGCGGGAAAGATCATTGCCACTATGATGATCGTTGACATCGTGCTCAATGAGACGAAATACCCAAAAGTGAATGAGTCCTACCGAAAAGTCTGCAGCTTCATGGCCAAAAAGTTTGGATTGAGCCCTCCAGACATGGCCCCGATGGTCAAGACAAAGGTGGATGCGCTTGTTTCCAAAGCAGCGACTCTTATTCTCACGTTTGTGTGTTTTTGGGCACGCACTTTTTTGTTCCTATCCCTCTCCCAATTTCCTTTTCAAACAGGTTTGGTTCCAATATTGCGGAGTAGCATTAGTAGAGTCAGATATCCTTTACTATACCCAATCCCTTTTCAACAACCGTGTTCTCATCTTTGTGTGAGGGTGATTACTTGTGGCGTGACACAGCTTAGCCAGTCAGGAAATCTGACAAGACAAAAGCTGACTCCACGAAGCCTGAGGGGTCTAAATCCCAGAAGAGGAAGGCTGAAGGTGAGGCAAAAGAGCCTGCCAAGAAAGTCCAAAAGAACAAATCCGCCAAGAAGTAGGTGGCGGTTTTTTGACATTTGGGGAGCTTCATGAGCAAGAGGTGTAACAGCACTTGGAGCTAGTCTGTTTCTAGTTGCAATTCTAAGTTGAACTTGTTAGCCAACTAGTTGTTTAACAGCTGGCAATACTACCACCAATACCATTCAGAACCCAGAGCCTTAGCTTCAGTTTCGCGGACTTCTTGCTCAGTTTGACTGGCTCAGTCAATGGATTCGGAAACCTGTGGACAGAACCTCTTGGGGAAGGGGATGAAAAAGAATACGCGCGTTGCTGCTGTGTACAGGGGTTGTTTTGGTATTGATTTATCGCGGTGTAGTTGTTATAGGATAAATGATGAATGTTTCTGGCCCAAATAGTTGATGGCATTGTGCAAATGTTGTAGATAGTTTCTGCGCTTTAGGAAATAGTTTCCACAACTTGTGGAAAACCTTCTGCAAAGTAGGCTATAGTATTAGCACTTTATCAGACTTTATCACATAGAGACTAGAGTCATTTTAGTAAATAGTTTCTGGCATTTAGTAAATAGCTTCTGGCATTTAGTAAATAGCTTCTGGCATTTAGTAAATAGTTTCTTGCATTTAGTAAATAGTTTCTGGCATTTAGTAAATAGTTTCTAGAATTTAGTAAATAGTTTCTGGCCCCCACAGACAAAGAGGCCAAAGCAGCCCCCAATATATATATATATGTGAATATATATAATCAGTGTTTGCTCCACGATGAACAACAACCATTGTTGTGGCTTTAGTATGCTTTAGTAGGTCGACATTGTTGTGGCTTTAGTATGCTTTAGTAGGTCGACATCACTCCTTTTTAGATGTGTTACGTAAATCCATGTTCTGAGATTCTGGCTGCTGAAACAGCTTCTCACTGCTGACGGCTTCTCCCCAGCTCCTGTCCTCCAGGCACGTCCGCCCTCAGACGTGGAGGTACGGAGTCCGTCCGTCCATGCGGGTTTGGTCGAGGTGAATCCGTTTGGTTTGCAGATCACCCGATTGGGGGTGGGGGTAAGATCATACGTGGGTGATCTATGTTTTGATTCGATCATTGTTTTTTTGTTAAGGGTCGGTCATTGTGCTGCCAATGCAAAGAACATGGTGTGGTTCAATGTGTTTCATATCTTTTGAACCCTGTGTCTCTGGTCGCGGTCTGGGGATTTATCTATCACTTCTGTTTTTTGATGCTACGAACATCCCCCCGGTTCTTACTTTGAAGGGCTCAACGTGTCATCACATAAATTTGTCGTGGGGGAGGTAGCCGCTGCAAGACAATGTGGCCCCATTTTGTTCACTGCAAACCAAATCATGTTGCAGAGCGCATCTTGACTGGCAAAGATGGAATGAACATTTCACCCGTTTTCTTTCTCTTGAGGCTATACATTCCCATCGAATGATTGTTCGCCGGTCACACATGTTTGGCATCAACCACATTCAACCACTATCATCATCATTTGATGGTGAGTTTGCTCGAGAACACGACTGAGGTATGATACACGTCTCAGCATTTTTTCCACCAGAACTGGTCAGGTCGTTGCAGCACCTTTGCCATGGAACGTGTGTAGCGCCTGAAACCAGAACGGTGTGTATCTATCTCCATAAATGAAACCAACACGGCCATGGAGGCGAGTCTTCGGTGGCATCCGGTTCGGTTTCACGGGGGCCGTGGCGACTCAGGTGGATCCAATGCCCGTGATGTGGCAGGCGAGCTCCTCACTCCGCTGTCTTGGGACGGTGGGTTTCTGTATTTCGATGTGCTATTCTGTTTTGACTCTTTTGGGGCGTATCTATATATATATATATACGCATAATTTAACCCTCAGAATCCGGACCCTCAAATGGAAAGGTTTTGTGCCACTGATACTCTATGGAGTGTCCGTCCCCTGCTATGGAGAATTCCACGAGGGCCTAATGTATCTTGGGCCTACTTATTGTTCGGAACCAGAGGGGTCTCAACAACAAAATCAACCGTCAAGACTGAGAGGTGCACAACCTGGACCTAGGCTCTTGAGGGTCAACTTGCCAAGTCAAGTTGTTCACCAGTTTGACAGGTTGGGTCAGGTTGAACACTTATTCCACAGTGCCAAAGATGGGGGCCAGCATAACCATGGAGTATCAAGATACCAAGGCTCCCCACACATGAGCTTTGTAGCTCCTGTTTTGATGCCATCGAGAGGTGATGCCCCTTCAGTTTGAGCCTGAAGGAATTGAAGCCATCATCCTCTTATTGTGGCACTCGATGAAGAGAAATTGTGGTTTCGTCAGATGGATGAGTTCCAAATGGTTTCTGGATGTTTCTGGATTTGGACTGGAGGTCACTTCAACCATTCTTGCCTGCCACCCCTTGTTTGTTTGACCTCAATGCTTTTGGGGGAAGGGTACAGCACACCTCAAGTTAATTCACATCACATGACATGTGGATCGAAATGGATTTGCTTTGCATTATTCTTTTATGTGGTCATGTGGTACCCAAGCTGATCTCACTCCACCTGAGGAGTGGGTTTCGCTCCACCCAAGCTAAACACACAGCTGCTTCTGTAGTTTCTGCTACCCGGCCAATCTGGGACTCACCTCTCACTTGTTTCCCTTTTTGGCACTGGCAAAGAACACGCTAGCTACCATGTCCCAGACACTCCATGTATGCCATATATGCCCACATTGGATCACATTGGGGTGGTTTTGGGGGTCAATGTACGCATACATATTGCAGTCCCATGGAGTGTCTGGGTGTTTGCCATGTAGGGTACACAAACTCTCTCTCTCTCTCTCTCTGGATACCGTCCTCGTTGCCTGTGCAGGCTCCTGTGCCCCCGAGCCCAAAAGCCCCAACCACGGAGAACCACGAGACGGTCGCCGCACATGAGGCCTGGGATCTTGGGACCTTTGGCTGAGAAGGTCATGAATCATCATCGAGTCATGGATTCTTCTCATAATTTCTCATTCTTGGCTTTCTTAGGTGTTCTTTCCCATGTGGGTTAGT